AATTAATAATAATAATAATGATAAGCAACAACAATAATAATAATAATAATAATAATAATAATAATAATAATATTAATAATAATAATAATAATAATAATGAAACGGTTCATTTGAAAAGAGACTCGAGATGAAAAACATATATATGCGATTAAAACGTTATGAAGTATTATACAAAATTATCAAAACCGATTAGAAAAGGAAATGAAACAAAACATATTCTATGTCTTCTCAAAATTATTGCCTTTACTAGGACTAGGAATGGATCATTTTTAAAATCAAACAAGAAATTGTTTTTCTTAGCATTCAATTGCGCTATTTTCAAAACAAAAAAAGATAATAATGCCTTATGGATGAAATTGTTTTATATCAAGCCTTCAGCGGTAACACAAGAAAAATCATAGTATTCTAGCAAACAAGAAAAATTTAGCAAACCGCCAAAACCCCGGGTTTTAATTGGTTTGCTAAAATTATAATGTATTGCTGGATGACAATGTTTGCTATTTGCGTTGAAACCATGATTAAGAAAATTAGCATCTCCATGTGCCAACATTAACTTTTATATACGCTATATCAATATAAATAGAGTTTGGGACTAAATTAAAATAGAAGTCAAGCGGTTAGAAATTCATTTTTGACATTGGAAATTAGTCATAATTACCAATTAGCAGTAAATTGCCGTGAAAAATATTCATTTTGTACCAATTTTTTTCTTGGACAAGGGAAGAAACAAAAATTTTGTAAAAATTAAAGCTTTTTCGCATTTAATATTATCTCTTTGTCTATTTAAACTTATCTCTTTATCTCTTTTTGTTTCTAAAGTTAACTTTAAAGTTTAAAGTCAGCATAAAATGTCAAAAAAAAGTCAAATAAGATGTCAGCAGATCAAGTGTAATGCAGATAAGTATTCAATTAAGTTCAATAAATGTTCATTTTTAGAAAAAAAAAGGAAACTTTTTCTCAAAGAAAAAAAAAATTTTTTTCTCAAAAGTATAAATCTTTTCGAAAGGAAGTTAATAACAAATAGCTTTTGTCTTTTTTGTATTTAATTATTAAATTTATTATTGTTGGTTTATGAAATTATTACAATTAGTTAAGCATTATTTAAGTATTTCTTGTTACCTTTTCCAATCTAATCATTTTATTATTTTCTTTTTTTATTTTAAAATTAAACAAGAAATATGCAATTTAAATTCATTTTTTCATGTGGTCTTATTTAGGAAAATTTTTAAGAAATTATTGCCTTCAACTGCTGCATTTAAATTGTTTGTTAAATGACAATTATTATAAAAATCAATAAATTAATTAAGATCATTATAAATTAATATAAATGATTGAATCATTATAAATGATATCAAATTAACATCTAATAATGATTAATCATTTCATTTAAATTTATTTTTACAAGATAAAAAACAAAAATGAAAAAAATTCAAACTTTTCTAATCACTTCGTGTCAGTTTTTTTTTCACGTGCCTGTCGTTTCTTAAACTTCAATTCTTTGCGACTTTCTGGTGGTTTCAGTTCGTAATGGGATTTGCTCAATTTTAGGTCGTCGTTCAAGCGATTCCGATTCATGACTGCTACTGTTCGAATTTCAGCAGATTCTTGATGTTGGAGAACTTTGATAGCGCCTGATCCTTCCTGTTCACATTACCGCCACCAGTAGCACCACCGCCAATAGCACCACCGCCAATAGCACCACCACCGATAGCACCAACATACCATCGCTAACAGCAGCAGGTTTGGAGTTTAAAAGTGATGAGTACCGGATCATTATGTGCTGTAATTACCGTACAAATCGAATCACGAGAAACTTTTGGTGTTAATATTGGGGGCGGTTTTACTGGGTGAGATCATTTCTACCTATTGTTTGCCACTTTTGATTGTCTTTTGATTGTTGAGCTAATTTTTTCAGCATTTAATATTATCTCATATTCTTTTAAACTTATCTCTTTATCTCTCTTTGTTCTAAAGTTAACTTTTAAAGTTTAAAGTCAAGCATAAAATGTCAAAAAGTCAATAAGATGTCAACAGATCAAGTGTAATGCAAATAAAAATGTAAATAAAATTGGTTTTCAATAAATCAATTTAATTTTTAAATGATAATTGAAATAATTGAAATACATTGAAGACTTAAAAAGTTTTCTAAATCTTGTCTTAATTGAATTCTATGTTTGCTAAAAGTATTTAAAAAAATAATTTTTTAATATAAATTTATTAAAAATGAATGTTTTTGAACATGATTTAATGCGAAAAAATTTCTTTTATCCTTTATCGAGAAAAAAAGTTTGAATAATATCAGACACGAAACAATTAATTCATTATTTTTAAAAATTAAAAAAAAAAAAGAATTTTAATACTTTACTTTTTATTGATAACAAAATAAAAAAAAAAAAAAAATGAAGTGTGAAATTTTAACAAACCAAATCAAGTAATTCACTAAAGCCATTGAATTATTTTAATATGAACATTGATACCATTCATACCATCCACGTATAACATCACTTGACCTAATGCTACAATTAAACGTACGTGTACGTTTGAACCCTTGCACTTTGACATTGAAATAATTTTAAAGCAACTTAAAATTCAAAAGGTCAAATTTATTCATTTTCACTCTCCCAGATTCTCTTCAATTTATTATTTCTATTAAGTAAGTATTTGAGCATTTTATGCAACTTCAAACTTTAAAAGTTAACTTTAAAACAACTTTCATTGCAGAAATTATTAAATCTAAAAGTATATTGATTTCAACTATTTTAATATTAAAATTAATTTTAAGTCTAATTCTAGATAGGGTTTTAAAAATTTCGACAGTTTTTAAAAGTTTAATAAATTAAATATTAAAAACGTTTATTTTTTTATTTATTCTGTTTCAATTAAAATCTGCAAATGCTGGAAAAATACAATTCATTTAAAAATGAACATTTATTGAACTTAATTGATTACTTTTATTTGCATTACACTTGATCTGCTGACATCTTATTGACTTTTTTTTACATTTATGCTGACTTTAAACTTTAAAAGTTCTTTAGAAACAAGAGATAAAGAGATAAGTTTAAATAGACAAAGAGATATATTGAAATGCGAAAAAAGCTTTAATTTTACAAAATTTTTGTTTCTTCCTTGTCAAGTAATAAAAATTGGTACAAAATGAATATTTTCACAGCAGTTTACATTTCTGTAATTCATATTTGACTAATTTCCAATGTCAAAAATGAATTTCTAACCACTTGACTTCCTCATTTTAATTTAGTCCAAACTCTATTTATATTGATAGCGTATATGAAAATGTTAATGTTTGGCACATGGAGATGCTAATTTTCGCTATAATCATGGTTTCGTAACGCAAAAATATAAAACATTGTGTATCAGCACATTAATTTATAATAGCAAATTCATAAAAACCCGGGTTTTGAAAAATGGTTTGCTAAATTTTCTGTTTCCTTAAATTTACTATGATTTGTATTATGTGTTACCGCTGAAGGCTTGGTATAAAACAATTTCATCCATAAGGCATTATTATCTTTTTGTTTGAAAATAGCGCAATTGAAAATGCTAAGAAAACGTTCAATTTCATTGATTTTAAAAAATGATCCGGTTCCTAGTCTAGTAAGGCAATAATTTTGAGAAGACATAGAATATTGTTTGTTTTCTTCCACTTTAATCGGTTTTGATAATTTTGTATAATACTTCATAACGTTTTAATCGCATATATATGTTTTTCATCTCGAGTCTCTTTTCAAATGAATCAGTTTCTATATTATTATTATTATTATTATTATTATTATTATTATTATATATTATTATTATTATTATTATTATTATTGTTGTTGCTGCTAATCATTATTATTATTATTAATTATTATTATTATCATTATTATTATTATTGTTATTATTATTATTAGTAGTAGCAATAGTATTTGTCAGTTTCGCTTAAAATCTCAAAGGTTGAAAACCAATAAATATATCATTGAATTTCAATGAGCCATGATATGTCTCTATCATACTAGTACACGAATTAAATCGAAATATAGACGTTAAGTATAAATCAAAAAAAAAAAAGTGACATACACATTTATAAAATACTATGATAAAATACTCTCTCATATACACATTAATAAGGTGTATAACTTTTTTTTTCCCAAACAAAACTAATTTCAAAGAAGCAAAAATTATAGTTATTTAATTGTCGTTCTTTTGATTCTATTTAATCCATCAAAATCATTAAATGCAAAACATCTTTAATAGACATTTGCTTTAGTAAACAAAATTGCTAACCATAGGTTTTATTCATCGAGATGTATCCTAAATTATTGGTTTAATTACAAAAATTACTACCTAAAATTAACTTAGATTGCGAAAAAAAAGATTGCAAACAAAAATTTCAATAAAATGACTCATCGTTTACAATTATTTTAGGACAATGCCTTTTTCTTTAAAAAAATTTTTATTTAAAGTTTGAAGCTTTTATTTAAAGAAATTAGAAATATTTCGTGCAGTGTCTTTTATGATTATCTTTTAAGACAATTTCATGCATTTTTATTCTTATTAGATTGCTTTTGTAGGAGCCAAAAAGTTCATTTATTAACAGTTTATCAGTGAATATGCAAAGAAAGAATGGAATACGTACCGGTGAAAAGCCAATATTGATTGATTTTAATTAATACAATTTGAATAATTGATAGTTTTAAAAATTACAAGCATTAATGATATTAATTAAAAATTAGGAAAAATAATAAGTAAAAAACAATTGATTTAATATTTTAAAACTATCAATTATTCAAATTGTATTAATTAATTTTGCTAATTTCAAATATTATCAGTCAATGTTGTAATTTTTTAAACTATCAATTACTCAAATTATATTGAAAAATACATTATTGTTGATTTAAAAAACAAAAATGATTTTTGCAACATTCATATGCAAATTTATTTACTAAGAAAAAAAAATTTATTTAATTCAATTCTGCAACGCATCATTTGCATGCTTCTATCAGATGTGGTACGGCAGATCGCAGGAAGGAGTCCCGCAATTAAACAACGACTTGCGTTGGATGCTGTATGGGTTGTACCAGGAGTTATTCCAAAAAATATTGAAGGTTCTTAATTTAATTAATCATAATTAATTGCTAAAAAGCATATTTATATTTAAGCATAAAGAAAAAAAAAACAGAAAAATGTGAAGGAAAAACATATTGAGATTATTTGAGAACATTTTTATACCTGCATTAAATTATTGAGAAATTTCAATGTATTATTATGATTTAAAAAAAAAAAAAGAAAAAAAGATGAAAAAAAAAGTTTAAAGGTAAAAGAATAAATTTTGCTAAAAAATATTTTAATGATTTATTTGAAATTAAATATTTTCAAAGTTTTTCTTGACTATATTTAACCATTTTTTTTTTTTTTTTTATTTTAGTTTTCATTTAAGGATGAATATACTATGAATAGTTAAAAGCTGAAGTATATTTAAAGTGGTCAGCAAATATTGGTATTAAATCAGTAAAAAATTGTTGCTTGAAAATGGATATTCATGTAATGCACCTGCATGTTTACTTACTGCATTCTCGGATATCTTTCGCAAACTTATTTCAGCACAAAAAAAGTAAATTTTAATTGAATTAATTAATATTTGTTGTACAAAATTTGTAATTGTTTAAATATTTGGTCGTTTCCTTTTTTAAAATATATATATATAATTAAACTAATGAAAGTATAATTAAACTATTAAAATTTTAAATAACTTTAAATGGGAATTATCCTAGAAACATTATATTTAGGCAACACAAGAAACACTTTCATCGGGTAAAGAAATCACAGTTCATTTAAATGATATGCCAAATATTACGAATGCCGGTCTCTATAATGTGGTAGCTTTCATTCAAAGTGGACAAAAAATCAAATTTTTAGAAAATGATTGGGTGAATATAATACTAATGATCTTCAAGTAAGTATATTAAACTTAACTTAATAATAAAGAATTTAGGAATTAAATAATGCTTTTTTTAAAAAAGAAAGAAAAAAAAGATGAAATCAGAAAGAAATAGTTGACAAAGTCAAAATGTCAAAAATAGGCGAAACGAAAATTGATAAGCTAATAGGTAATCAAGATAAAACCAATATACATTAGAACAAAATGCCTGAATTCTGAAAATATACTTAACAAAAATTTTTAAATGATATAGTAAAAAAAATCATAGTGATTAAATAGAGGCAAATAATCTTTTTAAAATAATTAAAATAAATGACAAGCAAATCTTTCAATCCAATAAAATTATAGTTATGATCATAGTAGAAATGATTGTGTTTGCAAGTAAAAAGTTTCAGGTGACTTCATTGGTATCATTAATTTGTGAAGAAATGTTGAAATATTGAAAATTGCTGCATCACCACCAATTTCATTACTTTACTCAGCTATTGCTTGTTTACCTCCGTTTGTTTAATTAATTTTTCATTTTAAATCATATAATCAGATGTATATATCAATGTTTATTTATGTTTTTAGCTTCACTTGCGATTTTATCTCTTTATAAAAAGACAGTCTAAGTTCTAGAAATTTTGTTATAATCTTGAATGAGACAATAATATTATTCTCAAAAAAATTATTTTATCATAATTTTTCTTATATTACTTTTTATCTTACATTTAGACAATCACAATATCATGTAATATGATTGTTCATTGTTTAAATCATAAATTTTTGAATTATTCTAAAAATACAAAAGCATTATACAAAATTTTATTTTGAAATTAAAAAAAAAAAAAAAAAGAAAAAAATAATTTTCTCTATATATAATTTTTTTTTTTTTTTTTTTTGTTTGTTTTCATTATTATTTCAAAGCAATTAGCTAAATGTAAAAATTTTTTTTTTTTTTACATTTAATTAATATTCTTCTTCTTCTCTCTCTCTCTCTCTCTCTCTCTCTCTCCTTCCTTTCACTTTTTAAGTTATCAAATCAATTGCTTTACGCACTTCTATTCTTCCACTATTACAAGGACCTGAATGGGTATTAGAAATTTATGAAACATGATATTTTGGCTTCAAATAATCCTGAACATTTTTGTTTGTAATTAAATCTGATTAAATGTTAATTTAAGGAATTATTCATGTGGCTGATAATGTTTGCTATTTTATTTCCTTCCTATTTAGCTTCATTTAATTTTTTTCAAAAAAAAACTTGAGATTATAAGGATTATTTAAAAAATGGCAGATAAATATTCAAATTAAATTTTTATAAATTCGAAAAAAAAAAATTTATGTTTTTTAAAATTTTTCTAGCGTCAAAAAATAATGAAGAAATCATTGGAGGTGCAGATTTGGGACCAATTGTGCAAGTCTTTTAATGGATTATTATGACATGTAATTATGGTTTCCATTTGTTTTATTTTTTGAATTTTTTAACAAATATTCAATTTCATAATATGAAAAGAAAAATTTGCAATCATTTGAATTTGTACATTGCAAATGTTTACGAAACAAACAAAAAAAAATTCAATTTTATAAGTATATGATTATAATTAAATATTAAAATTTAGAATAATAGCTACCTAAAATTAAAATTATAGGATGATTTGGCGTCACCACAAAATCGCAATCAACCATTATCATCGCCCATCTATACGGTGTCTGGTGCAGAAAAATGCAGTTACACCAACTCATTAGGAGGAACATTAGGATTACTTTTTCATATACCTCTTGGATCATATATCATTCCACCTTTTGATTCGGTATCATCTGCTGCAACAACCAAAAATTATTAGTAATGAAATATCCGTATCAGTTAAACAAAAATTGGCGATCCATCAACAGCTTCCAATAGGATCTGGTAGTTGTTAACAGTTTTTAAGCAATCTTACGTAATTTACCCAACCCAGGAAAAAGATTAGTGATAGTAGACGAGACTTTTTTGGGCTGAAATTTAGCTCAACAATCAAAGCATGTCTAAAGTGGAAATGTAACGGTGAAATGATTCACTCCAAAGTAGCACACCACTCCCAATATTACCACCAAAAAGCTCTCGTGATTCGATTTGTGGTAATTACAGCACATAATGATCCGGTACTCATCTACTCAAAATATTCCTATTACTACTGCTGCTGCTAGCGATGGTACTGCTGGTTGCTATCGGTGGTGTGTAATGGCGGTGGTGCTATTGGCGGTGGTGCTACTGGTGGCGGTAGGGGTGAACAGGAAGGATCAGGCGAAAACATCAAAGCTCTCCAACACTAGAATCAGCTGAAATTCGAACAAGTAGCAGTCAAGAATCGGAATCAAGTTCGAAACGACGACCTAAAATTGAGCAAATCCCATTACGAACTGAACCACCAGAAAGTCATAAAAATTACGTAAGAAACGACAGGCACGTGAAAAAACTGACACGAAGTGATTAGAAATGATTTTTTTTTCATTTTTGTTTTATCTTGTAAATAAATTTAAATGAAATGATTAATCATTTATTAGATGTTAATTTGATATCATTTATAATGATTCAATCATTTATGATAATTTATAATGATCTTAAATTAATTTATTGATTTTTATAATAATTGTCATTTAACAAACAATTTTAAATGCAGTAAAGTTGAACGAATAATTTCTTTGAATTACTCCTAAATAAGACCACATGAAAAAATGAATTTAAATGCATATTTCTTGTTTAATTTTAAAATAAAAAAAAAGAAAATAATAAAATGATTAGATTATGAAAAATTTCAAGAAAATTAACTTAAATAATGCTTAATTAATTTAAGCATTTTCTAAATAACAATAAATATTTTATTAAATATTGCAAAAAAAGACAAAAGCTATTGTTATCAACTTCCTTTTCGAGAAGATTATCTTTTGAGAAAAAAAATTTTTTTTTCTTTTATGAAAAAAGTTTTGAAAAAAAAACTAAAATGAAATTTTATTGAACTTAATTTATTACTTTTATTTGCATTACACTGATCTGCTGACATCTTATTGACTTTTTGACATTTTATGCTGACTTTAAACTTTAAAAGTTTTTAGAAACAAAAGAGATAAAGAGATAAGTTTAAATAGACAAAGAGATAATATTAAATGCGAAAAAGCTTTAATTTTTACAAAATTTTTTGTTTCTTCCCTTGTCCAAGTAATAAAAATTGGTACACAAATGAATATTTTTCACGGCAATTTACTGCTAATTGGTAATTGATAATTTCAATGTCAATGATTTTCTAACAAACTAACCCTCATTATTTGATTAAGTCCCTCTTATTTATATTGATATATGAAAATGTTAATGTTTGGCACATGGAGATGCTAATTTTCGCTATAATCATGGTTTCGTAACGCAAATAGCAAACATTGTCATCAGCAATACATTACAATTTTAGCAAACCATTAAAAACGGGGTTTGGCGTGGTTTGCTAATTTCTTGTTTTCGCTAGAATACTATGATTTTTCTTGTGTTACTGAAGGCTTGATATAAAACAATTTCATCCATAAGGCATTATTATCTTTTGTTTTGAAAATAGCGCAATTGAAAATGCTAAGAAAAACGTTCAATTTCATTATTTTAAAGAAAATGATCGGTTCCTAGTCTAAAAGGCAATAATTTTGAAAGACATAGAATATTGTTTGTTTCATTTCCTTTTCTAATCGGTTTGATAATTTTGTAAATACTTCATAACGTTTTAATCGCATATATATGTTTTATCTCGAGTCTTTTCAAATGAATCAGTTTCTATTTTATTATTATTATTATTTTATTGTTGCTGCTATCATTATTATTATTATTAATTATTATTATTATTATTATTATTTATTATTATTATTATTAGTAGTAGCAATAGTATTTGTCAGTTTCATAAAATCCTCAAGGGCAAAAACCAATAAATATATCATCAGGCTAACAATGAAGCGTATGACTTCGTCTTTTTCATCTTAAATTATATGCAAAGGTTTTGTCAAATTATTCAAAGGTGTTTAAAATTTATTATTTAAATCTAAAATATTGATCAATTAAAATCAAAAAAAAAAAATTTACCTAAATCTCTTATTCAAATATACCAAAATTTATAGCAGAATTTTTATTTTAGCATTTAATTTTTAAAATTATTGCTTTAGTATTAGGATAAATGATAATAATAAAAATAAGTAATACTATGCATATATTGCAAAATATTTTATTGCGGATATCATAAATGCATTTTTTTCAATTGGAAATTTTAATTAAAAGCAATTATTTATTGCCAATTTTAATTTAGTAAATTTTTAACATAATATTTAATTTGAATTATCACTTATATCTGTTATTTGAGAACCACTCGTTTCTTGACATTCTGAAGATTCTATTTCATACGTCCAATTTTGCGTGATTTCTGAATTTATATTCGTATTGCAAAGCAATTCATTTGGATCAGGCAGCTTTCAGTAGTACAACACGTAAAGCACTACGTGAAACTGATAAATCACAAATTCGTTCCCATTTTTTACCATCAAAACGTACCACTGTTTTAGTCACCGTTCTATTATAACCATAATAGCATAAAAATAATTTCCCATTCTGCACATTGCAAAATTTGATCTTAAAAAAAAATTAAAGAAAAAGGAATAATTTAATTCAATAATTTATGTTAGAAACAGATAAATCTTAATAAAAAACTAAACAAAAATAACTCAATTTTTTACTTTAATTTACAATCAGATGAATAATATTTTAAAGTAAAAGTTTTGAAGCATAAAAGTTTTAAATAACTTAATATAATCTTTTATTACAACAAAAATTTAAGCGTAATGAATTATCCATGTTTTTTGAATAACAAATCAACAAATTTTTTATTTATTAAAGCAAAAATTGCTAATGCTTTACTAGTACTTGCAGCAGTTATAGTTTTTGTAAAGTTTAGAGATAATTTTGAAATATTTCAAGTTTAAACAGGCATTGGCATTGATTCAACATTTACAGTATGGGCACTTCCATTTCGTAGGATTTCTGCACTGCTTAATCGATTTGTACATCGTATCCACAACGATTAGTATAAAATCTGTACTTGCTGCACATGCCAGGCCTAAAAAGTATTTGAAATTTTATTATTATACCTAAAATAATTGCACTTATAACAATTAATTTAAAACTTTATTTTTTTTTTTTTAATTTACACTTATAAATTTTGTTTACAGTTCTTGATTAATTATAACTGAACTTCATATCTGGCCAAATATGCTGTTTATTAAAGTTTATTTGTATGAAAAAGGCATTTCTAAATTTTTTCTTTGCATTTAAAATTTCCAGCCAGTTAGTAAGTAAACATGAAAAGGAAGAACTACGATATTAATTTAAACAATTTTAGTAATTTAATTTAATTGATAAATTTTATTTGATAAAAATAAAACATTGCATGAATTATTTACCGGATCTTGGTGAGCTCATATGTGCAACTTCAGTCAAATATCCGTTTCTGGTGTATACATTTCAAC